CAGGGGAGGAGGTCTCGCCGCCCGCGGCAGCCACGCGGAGATGGAGCTGCGTGGCGGCGCGCCCCCGCGGAGGAGCGGGAAGAGTTTAAGCGGCGAGAAGAGAAGTGGAGCAGGGCTTCGCGGAGGCGAGTGCCAGCTCCATGGCCGAGATAGGTACCTGCTGCCTCTGCGGACGCCGGAGGGGACGCCCTTCTCCTCGGCCGCGGCGGGGCCGGTAGGGGAATGAGACTGACTTCACCCAAAGCGACGTATGGCTGCAGTCATGGAAACCAGACCGTCCATCCCATATCAAACGGCAAGAATCTCTAACCTTCCAACTAGCAGGCCAGGCAGCTAGTTCAGCCCATTGAAGCCCACCAGTTCACTTTAAAAAAACAGGAGTGAGCACATGCTTCTCCCATAGGAAATTTTCTTTCTCAACTTTTCCTGGTGCTAATTCAAGATTTAGTTCCATATATTGTTGGTTGAAGTTTGGTTATGTTCTGTCAATCTGCACGAGTAACTTTACATCGAGATTCATTTGTTACATAGGCAATTCTTTCATGTCTTCCAAAGCATCATGTTCGTTGGATCATTTTTGTGGTTGATAAGTTAGCCAGTACTGTTTTATTACGAGAGAAAACATTGCACAATAGATGATAAGGGCTGATAAATTCAAACGAACAAGGAATTAGATTATATATGTAACTGAGCATATGACACACGGCAACACCACTTTTTGCAGCTTGCAAGCTTCCATCATCAGAAGTGACTGCACTGCTGCATCCTCAGGAATTAGATTACCCTGCTGTTAGCATATAAAGAAAGGGCTTTAAGTTTGATTAGCGCATGCTGCCTGCCAAGGAAATCAGAGTCCAGTGGTTTTGCGCTGGGCCTTCGTTATCCGTGTGCTCTGGATTTCATCCCACTGAACTGAACAGTCAGAAGCCAATGCCCATCAAGCCAGGCAAAGATTGCTTAATGGACCGCTAAGCCTAACATCATAACTAATACGGCCTTGTTTTGCTAACGAACCTCAGATTGAGGTTATCAGCAATTGAGGTGATGAATTGTGCCACACCGAGATGTGACAGACATTCAGATTTGACGGTCAGATTGACAGGCAATTGTTTATACCAGAAGGCTATATCTTCAAAAAGAAAAATCAGTGCAGAATACTATAAACATCACTGACGGTCGCATAAAAGCAAACGAAAGCAGTACAAGGTTGCATGAGCATACATCTCATCATACATTTAAATGAGGATGCACCTACCTAATCCACCAATATCATGCCATTTCAGCATAAATCATAACAGTTAAGTACCATCAAGTTAAGGTACAATGCCTCCAACGGTTACACAAGAATAGCTCATTCAAGGTTGTCGTTGTCCCCCACAAGCAGTCCATAAAGTTGGTCGAGAACTGTTTGGTACTCCGTACAAAAGTTACTCTGAAGACCAAGCTGAAACGAATCATATACTAGTGAGTCAACTAACAACAATAATACTCTAGCATGTATCATCAGTTCTAGAAGGAGGTGACTCTAGCATGCATCATCAATTCTAGAAGGAGGTGCCTACCTTCCGTGCTTCTGCATTGACAATCATCCTTATTTGGATGCAATCTTCACCAAAGGCATCATCCAACTCTTCAACCTGCAATGAATTGCTTCTGTCACAGAGAGAGAGAGAGAGAGATGCAGTTAAAAATCGTACCTTCCAACCTTTAATTTCCAAGTGCTTCTTGATGTCAAGGAGATGAAAAACCCATTTCTGGGGTGAGATATCTATCTCTAAACTTGTTGGCAGTTTAAGCCCAACCGACT